TTAATCAGAACTGACTTTGACAAGCACTGTGGCAATTGGACAATTAAAACAGACATTCGGATGGCGGTGAAGAAGAACAAACTGGGGAGGAGGGTGGAGAGAATGGTGCGGCAATGAAGGAGTGAAAGCCCAGAATCCCTGTGAATATTCATTGAAACTAATAAAATTTAATAATAATAATAAAAAAAATAATTTCTGAATAAAATTGCTATACAAAGAGCAAAGGGGAAAAATGTAATGTTTATAATACTCATTCAAATTCATGCAAATAAACACAGTGTAAATACAGTTTCATATCTGTACAAGCAAATTCCCCCATGTTACTTTCCATAGATTTTTGTAACGCGAGAGCTGCAGGCTTTGAATAAAAAGTTTTCTATGTGCCCCCATTCTCCAAATCATCCTCAAATCTCTCAAATGTACCCTCCTTTTATTTTTATAGATAAAATATTTTATAGATAAAATATAAAAACTTTTCCTTCCAGATATTTATCAAAATGTCTTTGTGCTTAGGTTCAAACTGAGTTTTTTTAAAAAAATAAAAAAGTCAGCTACTGCAACTCTCCTACTCTGTTTAGTGAGTTCTTGGTGGAATGGTTTGTAGGAGCTGTGTTCCTCACCCAAAGGTCATGTTCAAACCCACCAGCAGCTCTGAGGGAAAAGGATGCACATGAGCCTCCTGTGCAATTTACAGCCTTGGAAACCCAAAGGAGGGTCAATTCTGATTCACTGACAAGGAGTTAGAGTTTGCTTTTTTAAGCTTACATCATACTTTGGGGCATGTTTTAAAAAATCTTTTAAGATCTGAATAGTTTGGGATTCACATTTTGAAAACATTAAGAGATCACTGGAAAGAAATGATGCTGCCAGAGTTTTACTTGACCCTTCTTCCTATGAGATCTGCAATGTAAGGTTGCTTAATGTAATGGTGATAGGGAAGTGAAAGTCAATAGTTAATTATGATCCACTTGTTTGTACTACAGCATCAAGATGACTTAGTAAAGGAAAGCAAAGAAAATAATTTCTAGTCAAGAAAAGACTCAGAAATTCACTATCTGATTTAATTGGGTAAAATGTAAGGGGTATGGCCAAACATCAACTACAGATAATAACCAAGGACAGCTCCTATTGTTTTAGCACAATCTGCTAAAGTAAATCTGTATTAATGATAAAAATTTTAACCTTAGTAAGACTTCTGTGTTTGTGGCAAATCAAATAGATGTTATAATAAAATATTAATTTTAATTATTCTAGAATAAAGATAATTAAAAAATACTTTGAAGCCACTTAATTTTAGCTATCTGATCAGAACTCTTTGCTGAGAGAGTTCTTAAGAGCTACACATGAATATAAAATTGTGTATGTATGTGGAGGGAGGGAATGATAAAATCCTGATTCAGAGGGATTCATTCATACAGATTCTGGCTTAAATTCAGACACAGTGATAATGAATCTAAATATGTGTATAAAAGAATTGATTTATTTACTACAACTAGAAAGCATCATCTGTAACCAGCAGTGAACCAAGTATTGGGTCAATCTTACCTTAGGATGACACCCTAGGAAAAGAAAGGACTCTCTTGCCTCTAACTAGTGACATTCTCTCACTAGTGTCTCTACTCCAAATGCCCGCAGGGATCCTGATGCCTTGCTGTGGACACTGTGGCTGTGACTGCTGTTCACACCACATACTTACTCTTCCTTATAGATGTGGATTCCAGTAAAGGGTCCTCAAGGAAGGTGGGGGAAGTACTGCTGCTGCTGGTTGATTTGTGCATAGTTATAGTTTCTTCCTGAGAAAGACAAAGGCAGAGAAACAGAATTCTCAGACAGTTCTTAATTATGCTAATTAAGAACATATTAAGTACTGATTTTAACCTGAGGCAATATATTATCACATTGAAGGTGCAACACAATAAGAAACAAAACATAAAGTAGTCTACAATTAGACAGACCTGGGCCTATTTTTGGCTTAGCTTCTCATGATACTGATATGACCATGAGGAGGTTTTTAAAGTTTCTTCCTTTGTGAAAAAAGAACATAATAAAACTATCTTTTCAGTAAAGTTATAAGAATAATTAAACAAGCTAATGAATTAAAAAGGTTTAATAAATTATCTGGTACACAGTAAAAATGTAAAAAGTGGGGGCCTCTTATTTCAAAGGGCAGCTTGGGATGACAAAGCAAGATATTATAATGAAATGTGAAAGAGCTGGACTCAGAAAATTAAAAGGACCAAACTTGCTCAGCAATTCTTAAGCTGAAGCAAGTGAAAAATTCAAGCCATGAGTGGCAATACTTAATGATGCTTTGGGCAGAATGTTAAATGATTCAAGAAGCATTAAAAGAAGATGGAAGGAGTATTCAGAGTTACTGTACCAGAAGGAACTGGCTGAAACAGAAAAATTTCATGAAACAACGTATGAGCAAGAGCCTGTGGTAATGAAGTTCAAAGAATTGTCAAAAACTAAAACTCTAGGAGTTGATGGCTTTACAATTGACATATTTCAACAAACAGACACTACCCTGGATGTGCTCACTAAGTTGTGCTAAAAATCTGGAGGACAGCTACCTCGCCAACTAACTGGAAGAGATCTGTATTTGTTCCCATTCCAAAGAAAGGTGACCTGAACAGAGTGCGGAAATTATCAAACAATATCATTAATATCACATACAGTTCATGTGACATTCGTATTCTTCTCTAACACCACAGCTCCCAGGAATCAATTCTTCTGTCATCCTTATTTATTGTCTTGCTCTCAGCTGACTGACGCATAGCACTTTAAAGGTCCTTAACAATAAGTTTCTCTGGGTTACATCCCAACATCAAGAGGACAAAAATCTTCACCATAGAACCAATAAGTAACATAATAGATGGAGAAAATAGTGAGGTTCTCAATGATTTCATTTCTCCTGGGTCCACAATACCCATGGTAGGAGCAGTGAAGAAATCGGAAGACATGATGCACTGGGGAAATCGGCTGTCAAAGTACTAAAGAACAAGAATGTTAGTTTAAAGACTAAGATGAGCCTGATCTAAGCCATGTCTTTTCAAATGCTTGCTATGCATCTCAAAGTTAGAATATGAATAAGGATGACAGCAAAGAATTGATGTCTTTGAAGTGTAATTATCATTAGTATCACACGCAAGCAAGAGTCTGCTGAAAATTATCCAAAAACAACTGGGGCAACACATCAACAGAGACCTGCCAGATGTGCAGGCTGGGTTTAGAAGAGGCTGTGATGGTACTAGAGATATTACCGCTAATGTTAGATGGATTTTGGCAGAAAGCAGAGAGTACCAGAGGAATGTTTATCTGTGTTTAATTGACTGTGCAGACTCTTGACTGTGTGGATCACAACAAACTATGGTTGACTCTAAGAAGAATGGGAATCCCAGAACATTTGATTGTGCTTATGTGAAACCTATACGTGAACCAGGAGGCAGTTTTCACAACAGAGCAAGGAGAAACTACATGGTTAAAAGTTGGGAAGGGTGTCCACCAGGGATGTATTCTGTCTCCATACCTTTTCAATCTGTATGCAGAACAGATCATCTGGGAGAGTGGGCGGTATGAGGAGGAATG